AGTTTGTGAAACAGCATTTGGAGAAGCCTGTGGATCACTGGGAGACTGGAATATGGTTAGACAAAAACAAAATGGAACTTTTTGGGCTGTCATTCTACACCCCATGTTTGGAGAAGAAATGGCACTGCCCACCGCCCCGAGAACACCATACCAACGGTTAAGTTTGGGGGTGGAAGCATCATGGTGTGATGCTGCTTTTCACCAAGGGGTACTGGAAGACTTCATATCTACTGAGATATTCTGGATAAAAAGCTACTGCCAGGGGCGAACTGAGACAAAAATGCAGTCCTGGAATATCTCCACTGGTCTGGCCGGCTGTAGGGGGGGAAGGCAGGTGTGTTCTCATGAACTTCATTCTCAGTGGAGTGGGAGCAGTGCTTGAAGTGGAGATGAATAAGTACTGGTAACCCCCTTAGAAAAAGCATATTTAATCGGCTCCTAAACATCTTTTCAACCCTGGACTGGATTATTCTAGACCAATATCAGGTTCTGTTAAACACTGTTTGTGATTTGTGAAAGTTTAGTAAAAATACATTTTTAGCACTCCTGGGCATCTCGACCACATTAAGACTGGTCTAGCTCAAAAACTACAGACCCTTGACACTTCCAACCTGGACTGGATTATTATTGTTGTTTTTAATCAAAATTCTAATAGCAGATTCCTTAAAAATATAGTTTCTCTTTGTGAACCTGTGACAAAAGCTGATTTCTGCAGGTGTTTTTATTTTGTGGCCATCCCCATTGCAAAATAACTATCATTAGTGCCATTTAGGTTTAGTGGGCACAGACTGAATGAACAGCCCCTTTCAACAATGAAAGAAGCCTTCTGCAGATGCACATCTCTTTTTCTGCATGCAAAGTCATCAGTGAGGTCATCTGATGCTGTGCTGCTTTTGAGCTGAGCTGATTATCGCTCAAACAGGCAGACTTAGGCCAGTATATTCATGGATGTTTTCCTACATATTATTCATATTTACACATATGATGCTATTGAAAGGCTATGGACCTCACTATGAGAGAGAAGGGGAGGTTTATGCATTTACAAGTTATCTATTAAACGATAATCTGGGCTGCTGTAAAATCAAATCTCCGCTCCACATCAAGACTCTCTTCTGTCTCACGATCAGCAGCAACTGGGATGTTTGTGACCACCAAGTTGCAGTTTTCCTTTTCAACATGCCCACTTTCAAATGAAGCACGCTCCCCTTGTTTTGACATTTTCTTTCTTGTGCTTACTCACTATTTATGATGTCATCACTCCAGCTCTTTTGTATTTTTTAATTTTTGTTCTTGTGAAGCGCCTCATGATTTTTACCTTGAAAGGCTTTAAATAAAAGATTGTTTCTTCTTCTTTTTCTCCATGGATCTACCTGCCTGTCGGCACTTTTAACCGCTGGTTGACCAGATGCTGCTGCTCTCAACGTATGCGGTGTCAGATAACTCCTCTCTTTTTATTCCCTCCTCTGCCAGGGTAGGGCCAGATGGAGCTGTAAGCGCAGCGCGCCTCGTGGCAGTGATGCACCTTCTGCACAAAATACGGCCCCTCATGGAGGGGCTGGGCGGCGCTGTGGCTGGCTGGTTTTTGAGGGCAGAGAGAGATTTTTTCAGAAATAACAGAGATTTTGATAAATAAATGACTTCAAAGACTCAAAATTAGAAGTGGCGGTACTGGCCCACTTAGGTGGGAGGGTGGATGTTGCTACAGCCTGCCATTTCCTATGGTGGGAATCTCGGGGTGGGGGGAGGTGAAAGGCCAACACCAATCCTAGAGCAGACCGGCCAGTCTAGGATTCTCCAGTAATCACAGATGGCCAGTCTGCCACTGTGTGCTGACATCTACCAGAAATCTGAAAACGAAAAGAGGGCGGACATTTCAATCAGACAGTGATCCCAAACAGAAGGTCAAGGAAGCAATGAATTGGTTTTTAAGAAAGAAAATCAAATTGCCTGAAAGTCAATCACCTGACCTAAATCCCATGGAACATCTATGGAGACACCTGATGACTAGAGTTCAGAAGAGGCCCAAGAAACTGTCGAGAGCTTTTGGGTGGAAGAGTGGCCAGAATCGCTCCAGAGCAACGCAGTAGACTGGTCTCTTCTTACAAGAGATGTCTAGAAGCTGTAGACACCAACAACGGCTTTTCCACAAAGTGTGTTCAATACTTATGCCCTGTGTCACTTTATTTATTCTGACTCAACTTGTTTACTTAAATGTTCTGGCTTATTTGAATGAATTCAAAATTTGGCTTGATGGCAACATCTGGTGTTATATGGCCCAATAGGCCAATTAGAAAAACCCTTACTGATAAAAATGTTGGTGTCTCAAATGCTTTTTCTCTCCGCTGTATTTGTGTAAAAGATGGAGTAACTTCACAAGGAGGAAGTCACTCCATTAATCACAGTAAATCGATTAATTACTACAATGATTATTTAGACCAGAGACAAACTGATTATGAGATTAGATTTGTGGAACTTAAGAACAGAAATCTTTTTTAAAATCTGACATGGAGGTAATTAGTAAACAACACTGCATGAACCCACACTTGGATGAAAGCGTCGATACCTTTGTCGTCATTGTCAGTGAAAGTAATGTGAAACAAAACACCTGAACATCTCTGTTATTACCAGAGCAGAGCTCTCAGTGATCTTAATTCCATTTGCATAATGAGCCAAAGCTGATAAGCTGCTCATCAGAGCTAATGGAGTTGCTTTCATTAATTAAAACATCTCATTCCCACAGCGGCCTCCATTACTGCACCAGATGGTTGTCATTACACTGCTGTTTGTCAGTCAAAAGCTCGATACCTCACCATACAACGCTTGTTAACATCAGTAACAGCAGGAGGGGACGGTACACATGGGAAGTACATGTGGGACAGTCCTCACCCTGCAGCAAACATACATTCAATCAGATGTGAAGTTTATAGGATGACTATAATACAAGATACATCTATCTACCTATCTATCTATCTATCTATCTATCTATCTATCTATCTATCTATCTATCTATCTATCTATCTATATATATATATATATATATATATATATATAAATATATATGTGTGTGTGAGTGTGTGTGTGTATACAGGGGAGGATTAAGGTGTACAGGGGCCCATAGGCTACACTTGTTCTGGACCAAAAATGCTTGGTCCAAGTGAAATATTTTTATCAATATTGTTAGGTCTTATCTACAGACTTAATTTAATTAGGGCTGTCAAACAACTAAAAATGTTAATCTAATAAATCATAGGGTATTTGTGAATTAACCATGATTCAATCATGATTAATCAAATATGACTGAAAAAGTACAAGTTCCGTATGACCTCTGAATGCTAAACCTGGCTCTGACGGGTATCTCACCTCAGCAATCACTCTCTGCAGCACCGCTCTCCAAAAAAGCATGCTCGCTGTCAAACTGTTGTTTGAGTGCCTGATCGATACACCCAGCATCAGCAGCACACCGCTTGAGACAAATCATTGTTGCATTCATGTGGCATTTTGACCCTTCATGTTCTGATAAACGTACACCAGCATTTTTCCAGTCGCTGTATCCAGAGACTATTGCGTTTACTTGAACATAACTCCCAGTTCCAAAGGACTTGTACGCAAAACAAAAGACGGTTCCTTTGGGTGGAGAGTAGAGCAGCCATTCAAGTTTCACACTTCCTCCATTGGCAAATTTTCTAAAAAACATCGACTTAGAAAAGTACCATTTTTGATGTTTGTGTTGTCTCTCCATGTCATGTCGGGCTGCAGTCTTTGAACCCACATGAAAGAATCACAGGCGGAGAGAGAGGTGAGTAAAAATATATATGTTTAATTATGAAGAAAATTAACAAGAACGAAGAGCGCTGATCCAAACTGGGCCAGGGGGAGTATTCCGATTCTAAATCAGAAGATAATGAAATGAATACTGAGAACCAAGAAAACACCGTGGAGTAATGGTGGTGGAGTCTTACTGTGTGAAGTGGGGGTTTGAGCAGGAGAGGGAGGCAAGTCAGGTCTGAGCCGGAGATGGTCTGGTGGAGAGGAGTAGCAGGCAGTAGAGTAATCCAGGACAGGTGAGCGGTGGAGAGCGGGAGACCAGAGGAGTTGAGTGGCGTTGGGTAATAATCCACTTCAGGCAGCAGGAAGCAGAGGCAAGAATCCAGGGCTGGTACTGGAGCAGACAAGGAGTGCGTTTACATGCTGCCAGTAACCCTTTTAAAACCCGGATATTCGCAATAACCCGGTTCGGCACGGCCATGTAAACACCGTCAAAAACCCGGATTTGCTCATAACCGGGTTTTTAAAAACCCGGTTACTGCACCTGGGGTAACCCTTTTCTAACCCGAATGTTTGGTCGTGTAAACGCATATCGGGATATCCCCATCCGAGCGTGTGTTCTGCGCTTGCTCTGTTCGCAAGGAATCTTGGTCTTTTGAGTAGCGACACATCTTGTATGCGCCAGAATACCGGAAGTAAACAATTGGGAGCAACATGGCGAGTCGCGGCACAGCACCACACTTTTGGAGTGACGAGGAAACCTCTGTGTTCATCGGTCTGGTGAAAAGTATGAATGTTATGTCTTTCATAGACGGCCGAAAGTACAGAGGCAGCGAAATCTACAAAAAGGTAACCGAAAAGTTACGCGAAGCGGGGTTTGTAAGGACACCAGACCAAGTGAAGTACCGCTGGAAGACGCTGAAAAAGGCCTACTACAAGGCGAAGAAACAAAACAGTACTAGCGGGTCCAATCCATCTTCTTTTCCACAGTTTGATTTAATGGACGACATTTTGGGCAATAGACCCATCAGTACAGCTGAAGAAAGTGGGGTAGATATTGGATTTGAGGACGTACAGGAGCAGTCAACCGACCAGCAAGGTAGGTTTGCGCGCCTTCTCCAAGCACAGTAGCTACGTAACTTAGTCCCACATTGTTAGCACCATTGTTATAATAAATAGGAATGTAACTAATTTGTAACACAAATGCTGCCTAACATGCACTGCCCCAGATTAATAATTATAGTAAACGTCACATAAATGTAAAGTCTGTTTGTTGCTGTTTTGTGGTTTCACGATGTGTAAAAAGACATCTTTTTTTTATTATTATTTCATACGAATTGTATTAATGCTATTTTACAGACAGTTATGGAACGCTTGACCAGACAGACGCAGCCACACCTACAGCAAGCGATACAACAAGTGGAAGTGGCTCACATCTTGAAGGAGAGGATGATGATGATGAAAACACAGGTAAGTCACATGACTTGCTCAATCCAATACATATGCCAACAAAGGGCTTCGCTCTCGGAGGTAGATACATGCGTTGACCCATCTGTGTTTAACCTATCAGTAACATCGTTTTTAACATCAAGCTGTAACATTTTGCTTGTTTTTATTTCTGGCCAGATGCAAATATTGGAGAAAGTGGACCTTCAATGACTGTGCCTAGCCAGTCTACACCGCCATCAAATACCACTGCAGCTACTCCTGGTGAGCTTTCGAAATACTGTTACTGAAGGCATAACTGGTTATAGCGTATTGTAACCCCAGGTCACTCCTCCTCCTTGTGTAATGTCTGAAAATAGTACCTTTCTTTAGTGGATAATTTGATTGCAGTGATTATGAGATATTATGTAATATAACCGTGGACCCAAACTAAGGACTATTGTCACTTTTGCATTCTTAATAAACTCAGAATTGTAGGGAGATGTTTATGATGCAGGCGCAGGTGACATTCTGACACGTCACCTACAGGTAAAGAAACATCTTTTAGAATCCACAAGTTTCATAAGAATGCAAAAATTGATAATAGTCGAACACTAAGATAGAACTTACCCAACACTTTCTAAGGCCTGTCATGTCTGCTCTAGGTTGGTCAAGTCGCAGGTTCAGGCACCGTGGAGCTGCTTCACTGACTCAGCATCAACAGTTCTTGGTGACAATGCAGCACACGCAGAACCAATGGTTTGAGCAGCAACGGCAGTTGAGACAAGCCAGTGATGAGGCATTCATGTCTCAAATGTTTTCTGAATCGACCCGTTCAATGGGTTTGGTTGTTACACAACTCCTCACAGGGTTAGGTGCATTATTCCAGCGGCCAACTCCTCAACCCATGTTTAGTAATTCTCATTCACAGCCTATGTTTCAGCCATACAACAACCATTTTGATAACAGGCAACCACCTGCTCCTCCACATCGATTTCCCTATTCTCATAACAATCAGCCTGAACATGATCACAGCGAGGACCAAGATTCTACACCATTCTGCCAACTGTAGTGTCCCACCTTATAATCCATTCATCTATTTGACAGTTGTTTTTGTGCATTTCCTATGAAGTTTGTTGTAGAAAATTATTTTTGTGAGAATTTTAAACTTTGCACCTTTTTTGCAGCTTTTGTACACCTTCTTTTTTTATTATGTAACAAACATTTTCAAAAACTCTTTGTTCCACATATGTGCAATATATTTACATCTCGAGCCTTGTTCTGCCATAGTAGTTGATGTATTTATTCTCCATTATGGAAGGATAGGTGCGCCATAGCGCCTTACTTGAACCTCTGTTTTACCTCACATGTAAAAAGCAAAACCAGAATGTTATTTTGTTATGTGCTTTATTAAAGAACCAATGTTTTATTAAACTTACTAGAAAACTTGTATTTGTTGACATTTTATTTGAGCATTGCATATAACTGTTCTTTTTCAGAAGTGCACAGCAACAAAGGAGAAGGCAGATAAACATCTTATAAAACTTAGAAAATACAGCTGTTTGACAAATATCGAGCTTACAGTTTAACGTTGTTTGTTTCCTATCAGACCCGTTCGTCCTGCACACTCATGCTCTTACTAAGCGCTTACGGAGTGGGACACGTGCAGCAAGGTAATCTGTTAAGGCCCGTCTGATAGCTGAGGCTGCACTGTTATCAGCCCTATTTACCTGTGACACAGGCTGTGGAAACAGCCTTTCTACTGATGTGGCCTCCTCTGCCCATCTGGGATTAACATGCTCCTTCTCCATCTCACAAAAGTTGTGTAGAGCACAACAGGTTGCTACCACGTATGGTGTGAAAGTGAAATGGAAGTCACTGCGCTTCAACAGAACACGGAAACGAGATTTCAGTCGACCAAATGCTATCTCTATAGTTGTTCTAGCAGAACTCAAATAGACGTTAAAGCTTTCCTCTTGTGGTGTCAGTCTTGGGGACTGCAGATAGCCCTTCATTAGCCAGGGCAACAGCGGGTACGCAGGATCTCCCAGCAGGAAGAAATCCACATCCTGCCCCTCGATCTGCACTGCTCTCTAAAGTGGGACAGATAGAAATATTATTCTTCCTAAATTATGTCATAATACATCTTAGATATGTGGCAGGTATGCAACTTGCATTTAAATACCTAAAGTTTTAATGCATTACCCACCTTTGGGAAGGACTGTGCGTTGTTGAACAGATTGGACTGGCGGAGTGCATTGGCGTCATGTGCTGAACCAGGCATTTTGCAGCTCACACTCCAAAAACTAAGGAAAATGTTTCACAGTGAATCAAGATGTAGTGGGAGCGGTGTGATTAGTGGCAAAAATTAGGAAAATTATTTCAGATCAGTAATGACAGAATTATTTGTACATATAAGCTGTTGATGTTTTGTGGAACAGAGAACCTCTCAATTGATGTTTGTGAGTGGTTCTAATATAGCTTAGTGATGTGTGTCTGTCAAAATTATATACAAATCATAATCATGGATAAAAAAGCTGGGAATGGCAAAACACCTACCAGTATTTGTCATCACAGACTCCCTGGAGGACATAGGATGGCCATCCCTTCCTGTTTATGAAGTCTCTGTAGCCATCACTTGGAGGCAAGCAAGGGATGTGGCTCCCATCCACACAACCTATGATAAAAAGTAAAAAACAATTAAAAAAAGTAAAAGTATGCACACAGCAGTGTAGCCTACATACATAGTATAGTTCACATTTAGCCTACTCAGAAAACTATTGACATTAACAAGACATAAGAGCAGGAAATATTTTACCTATGATTTGAGGAATGGAGTGGGCACGTTCAAATCTTTGTGCAATGCCACATGCCTCCTCCAAAGTGGGTACCCGGATCAGTGTTTTGATGACAGAGTCGACCATTCCGTGGCAGAATAGGTACACCATCTTCTTCACGGTGCTCTTGTGCACTCCAAATTGGTTTGCTATCAAACGATACTCGGCACAGCTTGCTAGTTTATACAGCACCATTGCAACGCGCATTCCTGTAGGCACTGGTGTGCGGATGGTTACTGCGCTGGGCTCCATCACTCTTTCCATCATACCACAAAGTTTAGCAAAAGATTGACGTGACATACGAAAATTCTCACGCCAATCCGTGTCCGTGAACTCCATCATTACAACCCGCTCCCACCAGTCCTGGCTGCGCACCTTCATCCAAAGTGTCCGCGGGGCTCTGGTGGTAACGGGTACCCTCGACATGTTGGATATGTTTAGCGCAGCTCTCTCTATATTTGCAATTTCTTCCTCACATACTCTCCTTCGAATGACGGCCAGTACGCACAGTCGTTGTAAGAGCTGCTGGTGGGTCAATACCAGCACTAAAGCGCAAACAAACGCGCTCGCTATCTCTTCCGAACTGGGAAACATGTTGTTGTTTTCTCGGACACCGGAACAAGATGACCTGGAAATGACGCATATTGCGTCTTGACGCCATCCATACGTCCTGACGCTACCCCAAAGTCCGCATTGAAAACGGGTTATGCAAATTAGGGTTGCCTCTTTCTTGTAAACGGGTTATCCCGATCAACTCAGAAACCCGAAAACCGACCTTAACCCGATCATAACCCGGATATTGGCTGCATGTAAACGTAGTCAAGGAGGATAAAACTGAGCACAGGGGAGAAAAAAAAACACGAGGCTAGCTTCAAACAGGAGCGAGGAGAGCTAGAGTACCCAACAATAGAGTATCAACCGGCGCTGAAGTGTGGCAACACCACTCCTTATATCCTCTGGCCTGGCTGATGGTAATCAGCTGCAGCTGTGGCTGTCCAACCTGCTCACCTGCAAACACTTAAGAGCACAGCAGCAGAGAAAAAGCAGACCCATGACAGTACCCCCCCTCAAGGGACGCCACCTGGCGGCCGAACAGAGGAGGAGGAGGAGGACTCAAAATCCATGATGAGGGAGACATCGTCGATCCACGACCCCGGGATCCATTGGCGATGCTCGGGGCCACACCCCTCTCAGTCAACCAGGTACTGGCGACCACAACCCCGGGGACGAACATCCAGGATCCTCTGAACCCAGTAACCGAGACCGCCATCAGAGAGGTGAACCGGAGGAGGAGGATCCGCAGGGGGACACATTGGACTGGACACAACGGGCTTGAGCAGGGACACGTGGAACACGGGGTGGATCTTCATGGACGCCGGTAGGGACAGACGAACAGACACTGGACTGAGGACCTCAGCGATGGTGTAGGGACCAATATACTGGGGAGAGAGCTTCCTGTTGGAATTCCTAAGGTTAATGTCTCGGGTGGACAACCATACCTGCTGACCAGGAGCATAGGTGGGAGCAGGGCGTCTACGTCTATCAGCCAGACGGCGGTTGCGGTCAGCAGTCCAGTGAAGGGAAGCCCGAGTCTTGTTCCAGGTGCGCCGAGCACGGTGGATGAACTGAGATGTGATGGCTGGAGGGTCAGAGTCAGAGGGAAACAGAGGTGGTTCATAACCAAGGGAAATCTTAAATGGTGACTGAACTGTAGCAGAGGAAACATGGGAGTTGTGGGCGTATTCAATCCATGCGAGCTGGCTGCTCCATCCAGAGGGATTGGAAGAGCAGACACATCTTAACGTGGCCTCCAGCTCTTGGTTCATCCGCTCACACTGGCCGTTAGTCTGAGGGTGGAAACCTGAACTCAGGGCGACCCGGGCTCCCAGATGGGTGGCGAACTCCTTCCACACCCGAGAGACAAACTGTGGGCCACGGTTCGAAAGGATCTCAAAGGGGATCCCGTGTAGGCGGAAAACATGCTTGATAAGCAAGTTGGCAGTTTCAGCGGAGGTAGGAAGGTGTTTAGGGGAACCAGGTGGCATGACTTGGAAAAGCGGTCAACAATAGTGAGGATAGAATTGAAACCCTGGGAGACAGGCAAACCTGTGACAAAGTCCAGAGCCAGATGAGACCAGGGGCGTGACAGAACCGGTAGGGGACAGAGGAGACCACAAGGCGGCTGATTGGTTGTTTTACTCCTGGCACAGACCTGACAAGCGCTAATGTACTCCTTAACGTCTTTGTAGAGTGACGGCCACCAGAACGTTCTCCGTATGAGGGTTAGTGTCCTTCCTACGCCTGGGTGGATGGAGAACTTGGAGGCGTGAGCCCATTTAATCAGGGAGCTGCGAACAGAGGCAGGAACATAGGAGGTCCCGTACCTGGGTCTGGGTCAGTCTGCTGGGCCTCCAGCACCTTGGTGGTAATGTCCCAGGTGATGGCGCCAACAACGCAAGAGGGGAAAAGGATGGTGGTGGGCTCAACCTCCTTGTCCGAGGCATATTATCGGAACAGAGCATCAGGTTTAGTGTTCTTGGTTCTGGGTCGGAAAGAGATAACAAAGTTGAAGCGGGAGAAGAACAGGGACCATCGGGACTGGCGAGGATTGAGTCTCTTGGCCTCCTTTAGATACGCCAAGTTTTTATGATCAGTCCATATTATGATGGGATGCTCCGCCCCCTCAAGCCAATGACGCCACTCCTCCAAGGCCAACTTTATGGCCAGTAACTCGCGATCTCCCACATCATAATTTTGTTCAGCTGCGGAGATGCGACGGGAGAAAAAGGCACAGGGATGCAGTGTCTTATGAGAGGGGAAGAATTGGGACAATACTGCACCTGCACCAGTATCCGAAGCGTCCACTTCCAGAGTAAATTGGGCATTGAGGTCAGGTCTGGTGAGGATGGGTGCCTGGGTGAAGCCATCCTTCAGGGTCTGGAAAGCGTTCTCAGCCTCTGGTGTCCATAAGAAAGGTCTGTTAATGGAAGTGAGTTGGGTGAGAGGGGCGACAATGGAGCTGTAGTTACGGATGAACCGGCGGTAGAAATTGGCGAAACCCAGGAACCGTTGTAGCTGTTTCCTAGTAGTGGGCTTGGGCCACTCCTTTACTGTGTTGACCTTGTCTGGGTCGGCCTTCAGTCTCCCCCTCTCCAGAACGAAACCGAGGAACTTGACTGAGGTGGAGTGAAACTCACATTTCTCAGCTTTGACTTACAGATGGTCCTCCAGAAGTCTCCGGAGTACCGCTCTGACGTGGTGCCTGTGTTCGGTGATGGATCTAGAGAAAATGAGAATGTCATCCAGGTAGACTGTAACAGACTTGTTAATGAAATCACTGAGCATGGAATTGACCAAAGACTGAAAAACGGCGGGGTCATTAGTAAGTCCAAAGGGCATAACCAGGTATTCAAAATGTCCGAGAGGGGTCTTGAATGCAGTTTTCTATTCGTCTCCCTCTTTGATTCTGACCAAGTGGTATGCGTTACGAAGATCGAGCTTGGTAAACACAGAAGCTTCACTGACCGGGTCGAAGGTGGATCAGAGTAGTGGAAGTGGGTACTTGTTTTTAACTGTAATGTTATTCAGTTCACGGTAGTCAATGCATGGGCGTAGGGAGCCATCCTTCTTTGATACAAAGAAAAACCCGGCTCCCAGAGGCGAAGTGGAGGGTCTGATGAGGCCCGCAGCAAGAGACTCTGAAATGTATTGAGACATGGATTCTTGTTCAGGTTTAGACAAATTGTACAACCTGCTGGTGGGTAAGGTGGTGTCGGGAAGGAGGTCAATCTGCATGTCAAACGGCCTGTGGGGTGGCAAAGCTGAGGCATGATCCTTACTGAAAACCTGCTGGAGATCGTTGTATTTGGAGGGCACTCCAGACAGGTCAGGTGGTTCTGAGGGTTTGGCTTTGGGGTTCTGGACAGGGATAGAAGCAGACAACAGGCACTGAGACAATCAAAAAATGCTCCAGTTTATACCTCCTGACCTCCAGTCAATTTGTGGGTTGTGAGTTGTTAACCATTCATGGCCCAGGACGACAGGTGACTGAGAAGGGAAAACAAAAAATATGATTATCTCGTGATGGTTGCCAGATACTAGTAAGTTGATGGGAACAGTCTGGTGGGTGATGGTCAGGGAGTTTCCGTCCAGAGACAAGCAATGAAGTGGAGTAGCTAGAGATACAGTGGGGATCTCCAGTTGTTGCACCACCCTCTGATCCAGCACATTCCGTTCACATCCAGAGTCAATTAGAGCGGCTGTGGAGAAGGTCTTGTTGTTGAAAGAAACCTTGCAGTTAATGGAGCACAGGGGTTTATGATTCCAAAATCCACCCACCAGTAACCCTGGATCTACTGGTGAGCACGATCTTTTGGCCGTATGGGACAAGCCGAGATCAGGTGACCAGACTGGCCGCAATAGAGGCAGAGGCCAGCCATTTGACGCCGCAGTCTCTCCTCAGGTGTTAGCCGGGCACGTCCGATTTGCGTTGGTTCAGCCGTTGCGGTCTGAGGAAGAGGTTTAGCTGCGGTCCTGATAAGCAGTTCAGGAATGGGAGTTGGGGACTGGTGCGAGGAGGCCTTACGTCTGCTTTTACGGCGTTTCTCAATGCAGGTGACTAGGGAAATAAGGTTTTCAAGGTTCTCAGAATCCTGACAAAATGCTAATTGGTCCTGAATATTATCTGACAATGCTTGTGAAAAGGCGGCTCAGAGAGAAGCGTCATCAAGGGAGGAAATGGAGGCTAATGTTCTAAATTCTATGGCGAATTCTGGTACCGTAAGATTTCCCTGTCGTAGGCTCCAAATCAGTTTGGCTAATTCAGCGGGGTTGTCGGGGGTGTCAAAGATCTGGTTAAATTCAGCTAGAAAATCCGTGAGTGGTCCGAGTAGAAAACTAGGTTGGCGACTCCTAGCCTCGGCCCATGATAACGCCTTACCACGAAGCAAACCCACAATAAAGGAGATCTTTATGGAATCATCAGTAAAAGTATCAGGCGATCTCTTAAATGCCAGGTCACATATCAGCAGAAAATTCAGGCATTGGCTGGGCTCACCCGAGAAAGTTTCTGGAGTTGGTGAGTCTGCGACCTGGAAATGACCTGGCGGTGGTAGAACCGGAAGTGATGGTGGAGACTGAACAGCAGGAGGAAGAGTGTGAGGGAGAGAAGAGTTTAGCTGCGTGCGTAACTGGTGATTATTAGCGTTCCTTTTACTGATGTTTAATGCGGTCTTGCATCTTCTTCAACTTTACACCACATGAACACCATAGAACTAATGAAAAAGCATAAATCATGTACAAATGAACAAGTTAGTTGCCTTAAGTTTGCTAACATATAGAGTTTATAAATAAAGAATAAACATACCACTTTGGCCTGCTAGTAGACAAACCGGTGTCATGGTCTGAGTCTGCGTCTCCCCTCATGTTTCTCCTTGTGTTCTCCATCCCTCTCTAGGTTCTCCTTTTGTGTCTCCTAGCACCCTCATGTGTCCTTGTCTGCGTCTTCCTCTTGCGTCTCCTGGTGTTCCCCATTTGCCCCCAGATCTTCAGCCCTCTAGGTTTCCCTCCTCAGGCATCCCCCTCCCAGGTCCTGTGCTCCCTTGGCCCCCTTTTAGTCACACCCCTATAGTTTTGCTTACTGTAGTGTTTTCCTTTAGTTTCAGCTTCCCCCGTAGAATATTAGTTATGTTTGCTGCCCTTCTGGTTTATAGGTTTTTCTCTTAGGTCATTTTCCTTTAGTTACAGCTGTTCATGTTATTAGTCTCTTTAGTGTGTTTTTCCCACCAGTGTTTGTGGTAACCCCCCACCAGTTATG